TACTTACAAAGAGGGAACTTGGCATACTATTAATTCTGATATAGCGGGTATCTTTTTTCCAGCTTGTGATCTGGGTTTTCTTTGCTTTGTCATGAGCAACAAAAAGTGAAAAAGTAATGTTTTTTGAAGGATAACTGCTTCGCAGTCTAGATCACTAGACTACTATACTGTTCTACCATACTGTTTGTGTCTTGATGGTTTGGAGTATGAAATGTGCCTCAGGGCTGTGTTTCTAGCTTTGCTATGCAAGTTGACAGAGAGAGAAAGAGAGAAGGTACTCATCTGCTTTTTTTTCTTGAAAAGCAATGTGCACAGATTTCCCCTCCAAGGACTGTAGGAGTGCAATCACCTGAAAGTCAAGAACGTCTACTTCAGTATTTCCTGTTTTCCACTCAAGGGACATTGTGTTTGTGCACTGCGCTCATTGCCAAGAGCTCTCATGTTGATTTATTCCTCCTAATTACGAGATGGGTTGCACATGAATGTCATGGAGAAACCCTCTGCAACTGTTCCAGCCTTGTGCATTGACAAGTTTGCAAATTGATGTGACTGGGTTGGAGGTCCTGTGCTAGTTGTTCACTATATCAGAAATTAATGTTGTCCATAATTCTGTTACGTTGGGAGTTGGTTGTTTTTCTGGTTTTGTTTGAGGTTTTTTTGTTCGCTTGTTTTTTTTTTTTTGTTTTGTTTTGTTTTGTTTAAAAATGAATGGTTAGAGAGAGAATTGGCATAGAAAGGACTGGATTCTACAAACTGGTGTAGTATGGAGTTCTTACCAAAGTTCTGCTGACATCCATCAGATGCAGTCTGCCCTGTACCTGATAAATTACATTTGCCTTGCAAGGCAGAGAGGATTACAGATTTTATTTTTTTTTTTAAATATGGTGGAAATATGTAGGATCACTTCTTTTTGTTTGGTGTTAGACCTTATCTGAAGAAAGACAAACTCTGCATAGCATTGCTGTGAGGGTGGAAGTCCCAGGATCGCTTCTGTTTGAAGTAGGGATCATGTTTTTTGAGCATGGGATTGTAAAGTCCAGGTTGCCGCCTACTGCTTGGTAGTTATATATTAATAAAGTTTAGGTTCAAAGGGCTTGTATTACCTTGTCTTAAGGTTCTTCGTCTGGTGAAACCTTTCTTCATTTCTGTTGCATTTGTTGTATGTGTTGTACTACAGAAACACTGGTCTTGTTGGTGAGTTTGCTTGTTGTTTCTCCTTTTCCATTTTGAGAAGCTCGATGCTATTACTGAGAACAGTGCTGGTAAGTTACTTATGTATTCTGCCTAATTATTTCATGGCTATATGTATTTATTCAGCTTGCAGTAAAGTGAGATGAACTATTTCAAGCTTCAGTAAAAGGCGATGTACATCTGTGTATTAGAATCAGCTGCTTGTTTTTACTCTGTTTCCTTATCAAGGACTGGGTTGAAGCATTCATGTAACCATGAGTGAATCATAGGTTTGAAGTGTTCCTGCTTGTAACTTCATCTGCAGACTAATAGCAGGTAGGGAGGCTTAACAAGTAACTCAGTACTGAGCACAGTGAAAGATATTTGTGGAGGAGAAGATTACTTTTGAGCTAAATTCAGTTTGAATTTAGCTCACACTGGAGAATGGTATACAACTTTTTTTATAGTATGTTGTGTTTGTAGTGTGGAAAGTACCCATGCTTAAAACAGGCTTTTAAATCACACACTTTCTCTGTGCAGTATTTTAATGGGAGAACAAAAAGGCTTTATTAGGGAGTGCTTTTGTATTGTCCTTTATAACCATCATAGCTGTGACAAAGAAGGCTGAATTCTTTTTCTGACTCACATTCAATAGTATTAACAGGCTTCTCGGCACCTTCTGACTGCAGTTGCTGGAGCCCATCAGAAAGCAGCTGCTCGTGCAGATCCAAGGTGGAGCTAGAGCTGTGGGTTTCAGTCTGCAGTTCACGGAGCTACTTTCTATGACAGAGATGTTTCAGAAAGTTGGCTAGGAAATGCAAATCCGTGCCACGTATCGCTCTACAAATGTGAACTTTAAAGGGATGTGCTTCCACTGAAATGGTTTGAGATCTGTCATTTGGAAAATATTGAAAACTAGGCATTGAAAGCAGTTGCGGTGTTTCAAGAGAATATGTAGTTGCAATTGTGGCAAAGTTTGGATGAGGTCACCTGAACTGTTGCTAGGTTAGAAAGACTGTAGTGGGAATGTTTTCCCTTTTCCTTTCTCGGATGTCTTGGAAGGAAACAGACCTGCACTGTCCTTTCTGCACACAAAAAAAAAAAAGAGGATTGTAGTATCTAAAAGTCCCTGACTGTGTAATGCCAAAAAGAATACACATTGTTACATATTTTATGGAGGCAAAATGAGCATCACTGGTTGATGTATAGCTGATTCTTTTGGTACTATGATGCCTGACTTCCCCGACACACACACCCCCTTGGCCCCAGGCAGTGTTGTACTAGGCCTGTAGCTGCAGAATTGGCTGTAAAGAGTACTTAAAAAGTGGCCAAATAAAAATCACTCTCCCATTTCAGAGCTATAAATTGGTATTAAGGTGTCTGACCTTGTTTGTCTGTTCCTTCAGAAAACCAGCTTCAGCTTTGTTACTGGTAGTGAACAAAAGTGCGTAGCATACTCCCAATTCACTTCCAGCTCCTTCATCAGCTTCAAAACTCAGTCATTCCTCACTTCTCCAAATGAAAAAAAATTTCAAGTCTCTTCGGTTTCAGCTGGTTTCATTTTAATGTTTATTTTATTACCATTGCTTTATTTTCTATGTCGTTGTTCACTGTCAGATCTGGAATTTACAAGTCCAGGTAAATCACATATACAAAAAAAAACTAGTTCTGCCAGGCTCAAGACACTTGCCGCCTCCTTTTCTTCCCACCCCCTTTGGTAGTTTGTCAGGAGCACTGTATTGGAATTGTCTCCCACGTTATAGGCCAGGCTTTAAAAACAAAGAAGAAAAGCTTGTTTTAAGAAATAAGTTGATCTGAATCTCTGAAGCTACATATATTGATGCCGTTGATGTTATGGAGGACAAGAATTACACCATTTGGAAATTGATCTGAAGTCCTTAAATGTTGTACTGCATGATTGTAAAGCTACATTGGCGTGATTTGGATTTATGCACAACTCCCATGTCTCTCACCACCTGCTTACAAATAACAACTGTAGCCAAGCGTAAAGGGATTTGAGCAGACGATGAATCTCAAATTCTTGCTTTTCTTTTATAGACAAGTAAATAAGTTAAGAGTTTGGTTCACAGACACATAGAAAGTCAGGGTAGTTTGACAAACAATACAGTCTTCACCTTTTTACCATCACCACCATGGGGAGGACCGCAGGGGCTGCAAGTCAGTGACTGATGACTGCATGACTCACGGGGTGTGTATATGATAAAAAGTGAATGTTCAGGGAAGATTCCCCATAGAAGAGAAATGGATGTATACTAGTAAATATGGCAGTAGCTCTCCCTACACATTTGTAGAGAATGCTCTTTGTTATGCACACAGGAAATGAAAGGAAGTATCTGCGTCCCTGCTAATTTTAGTGTCCTGCTGAGGTCTCACTGAAATGTGCATTTTCAGAGCAGTGTTGTGATTTTTTGCAAGTTGAGACATATCATAGACATCGTTTGTCAAATGTAAATACTGATTAAAAGGAGTATAGGATTTGGATTGTTTCTGAACACTTGGTTATTTTGTTGTTGTGATGTGATGTAGCTCTTATTTTTCTCTGCCAGAAGCTTACGTTGGTAATACAAACTGTATGTTTAATCTTTTTATCTGTCAGAATACACGTCTCTAATTAAAGAGTTCAGTTTGGTATTAATCCGGTTCAGTTTTTTTTTCCTGAACACAGTTTTTACCCTTGGCTAATTCAACCACTAAGTTTTGCAGGCTTTTCAGGGTTAGAGTACTTTTTCTGTACTCCCCGTTTCTGGATTTCTGTTGATGTTGTTCACAGGGTGAAAATGATGTGCAAAATCATAATCTCTTCTCTTCCTGCACCCTAAAACCAGGCAGATTTAAAAATGCAGGCACTAAGCAGGGGTAATAATTTCTCAGTAAATATTTTACTCCTTTTTCCATCTGTTACACTAAAATCTGACTTAAACTAGGCATAAATCTAGTCAGAAGAGGTCACTGGGATAATAATGATCAGAATTAATCCTCTTAGACATGTGCTTGGTATGAGGCCAGCTATTCAAAAGTTTAACAGCACACATATGTTGCTTATCTCTCTGGCAGCTTACCAGTGAAATAAATTTTGAGTTTGTGGTGGGTTTATGTCTCTCTAAAGTACACTGCTTGTTTGGTGCAAGTTGATGCAGCTTTTCTGTATGTCACAGATGGCACATCGCCTGTTATTGAAGAATGAGTTCTCTTCAGGGTGCTTTCAAAGAGCTATAGTCTCTTAGAGCTGCATGGCAAGAAGTGATGTCATTCATGATTGACCTTTTCATGGTGCTTCCCTATGAGGTATGATGAGCCAGCTTTAATACTACTTACTCGGAACAGAGGAATAGACAATATTTCAAGTAGAGTAATACTGTGGAACCCAAATATAGCTGAATGAAACCTCACCCTGCCTTCACTCCTGCCATTCTGACTTGGAGGAAACATTCATTTACGTAAATACAACTCTTTCTCGAGTCAGGTCTGGACTGGGCCCAGCATTTCTGTTTCTCTCTTCACAGCAGCATGCTTCATACTCGACAGAATAATGATTATTTCGTATCCTAATTATGGAACTGATTCATCCCCTGGGGCATGAAAAGCAAGCAGGAGTGAGTGCATCATTAAAAAATGAGCGTATTTTTTAGAGAGGAGGTAAAAATAAAATGCAACTCCATTGAAGAGTTTCATGGTAAAGAAAAATGGCTTGCATTAGAGGAACTTTTCGAAACAATCTGAGATTATGGCTGAAAGAACATATTTTCTTAATGTGTTTATACTTTGCTCAGGAGAAATTATTATTTTTTTTCTTGCCTTTATTTCTCAAGGAGAAGAATGAAAGCTCGTGCTCCTCCTCCACCAAATCAGCCTTCTGCAGCAAGTAGAACTCACAGTGAGCCCAAGTCACCTGCAGAGACAGCTGTGATTTCTGATCAGAACCTTGTGAGCATGAAGGAGAACATGATAAACAGATCGGTGGACTTCACAGTCATTTTACCCAGCGGGGTGGAGCAGAAGAGCACTGTACAAGGAAGGTAAGGGTTTGATTAGCTCCCGCCTCCTGGAGCCCTCTGTTCCCAGTGGGATACGTGCTGTCATTAATGTCTCCCTTTCTGAGTTGATGGGGTTTCTCTGCCATGCTTCACTCTGCGTTTTAGGCAGCTGTTGTACCAGAGTCCTGAGAGCCATGTATAAAGGGCCCTCTCTGCTGGGGCAGGAAGGATTTAGCAGCTATTGTGTCACTGTTTTCCCCGTGGATCACCCTCAGCGCGTGTCTCTTCCATGTAGTGCCACTGGGCTAGTCTTAGGTTGTGTCACATCTCATAATAGCGAGGGGATTTGGCGCAGTGGAAGTGGGTGCTGCTGGCAAACAGCAATCCTGACAGGATGCCTGTCTGGAGTCATGCCGAGAAGCAAGCTCAGAAAATGAATGATTCATCACATTCAGAGATCCTGCCTTCACAAATACATTGCAATTGTGTAGACAGCAAAGCATCTGCTGGTATTTAGGAGGCTTTTTCTATTTAAAAGTTTATTGATTTTTTTCACAGGAAGAGAGAGAGGTTCTCCTTGTCGCTGGGTACAATCAAGGGCAAATTGTATTGGAAAAGCAGTTTTGAGATAATTATCTTCACCATGGGAGCTCTTTCTTCTCCTCATCCTCTCTCTGAGAACTGTTTTGAAAGAGGTAGACTTACTACTTGAAGAGTTTTAAAATTATATTCAATACTATGATGACACTATAGCAAGGAATGGTATGGTTAGCAGTGGTCAAGAAACTGTAGAAAAGTGATGACATCAGATTAGGAGGATATGTAGATGCCTGTTGATAAATCAGGTTCTGGTGCTTATTTTACAATTGGGGTTTGCATTAGTCTGCGTTCCTGTAAAACTAACCTTTTTGGTCTGATATATTAGTCTATTTTGACTGTTTGTATATCAGTGTATTTTGATGGCTGAGAAGGATGTGTACAGTAATGTGTAGTCTCTAATACTTAATTCTTCCCCCCACTTTTCTTGTAGTGATCACTTAGCCACTCTCAGGAGACTAGTTCAACTTGTGTGGGTCAGCCCCAAAGCCAGGGTGATGTTAAAGGTTTTAAAGGAAAGCACTGCTTATCAGAGTTCTCAAATTATACCTTTAGTGATTGAGTTTTTATGGGGAGATTTGGGCTTAATGAGAGAAAGAAGAGAAGAGGCCTGGAAAGTACAACAGGACATGAAACTCACTGGCCATTAGATCCCAAAGAAAGGTGGTATTTCATTGGTAAATGCAAGCCACCTAGGAGCTGGCAAGAGGCCAATCTTCATGCAGCATCTTCTATAGAGAGATACATCATTGCTATATGCTTCAGAAAATATTTACTTTTCCCTCATAACAAAACCAGAACAAAATCCCACCACAAAACAAACACTCCAAGAGCACTACAAGAGTGTTTTTTTAATGTGACCTTTTGAAGAACATACAAGCTACAGGAACAGAGAACAAATGGAAAATCCCTGTACAATAAACATTCTGTCTCTCGCACAGGTGTTTATTATCACTACCATTGCTATTACATACACCGAGACTGAAACCTTAGATGGTTCTGTGGTATTATTTATATCATCTACATTAAGCTCTCTAAGCAACCAAAATATTGTCTTCATTGTTCTGTGAAGGTACCCACTCCTCTCCATTGTCTGCATGACTGGTCTAGGCCACTGATTTAGGTGGCAAATAAATTCCTGCTTGTGCTAATCTGTAAATGAGTATCACTCGTGCCTAATTTAGGTAGGTAGATGTTCTCCCTCAGTGTCTTGAGGGCTTGGAGTGGAGAGTTAGCTAGCTAGCTGTGGGAAGTGGAAGATTATGGAAACTGAGGAGAGGAATAAATTACCCTAACAAGTTACAAAATAAGAAAAGGATGCCCTGTATTATAGCGGCATCAGTCTGTGAACAGACCTCCTGTGTGCTGCTGTTCTTCTAACCACTGGAAGATGGAATTTTCTGTACATTAACACTGGTTATGTTTTTAGGGATGTGAAATACAGAAAAAAAAAAAAGTAATGTCAAGAGCATCTGAAATTTGTAGGGTATGAACTGTCTTAAATCTCCAGGTTTGGGTGGAAGCCTAGGCTTTTTCATCTTTTTGCATTGTTTTGACTCTGAACTGGACAAAAAATGTGTTTTGTTTAGTTTGAAGCAAGTATGGGAGCCAGCGCAGGTAATATGCTTTTCCCTGTTCACTGTTTTTATCTTATGGTGGTATCATGGAAGGACATTACAGACAAATTCTGCTGTTGTTTATGCTGTTATAAATCTTCGGTATTTTCATTGCCATCATTAAAACTGTATTCTGAAAAATCTGCTTTTGCGTACCCTGGGGAAATAGCTTTTCTGTTGCAGAATAATTTGCAACTTGCCCTGGGCATCATCATAATGGAAAACGATTCTGTAATTTCAGGAACGCAGTCCACAGAGCAGTGAAGTACACTAGAGGATGTTTGAAAATGTAACTACTGTAGTTAATTAGTATCACTTAAGTTTATTAGAAGTGAACCAAGTTAAAAGTCAAAATTATCTCTTTCAGTTTGTTCATTGCTCATAAGCAAAGCAGCATGTTGTTAATTTTACATTGTTCTCTGTATAGAAAGTTCCTATAAATATCAGCCAGAGGACAGAAAATTCTCATTAGATTTTCTTGAAAGATATTTCAAGAAAAAAAGAAAGTGTGTGCTACTTAAAGATATGTTATTGGAATCTGGAATTTTTAAGTAGATTTATTTATAAAAGTTAACTCAAGCTGACAGTCTCTCTTTAAAAGTTTATTGCCATCTTGTAGCATACAATTTATTCCAGATTTTGGAAATACGTAGTGCAGATTTTAGGACAAAGCTCAGTCCTTAAGGTGCGTGTGCAGCAATAGAATAGGATTAAAAAAAGTTTTCTTTTTTGAAATAATTGGTCCCTCTGAACTCTACTGTAAAACATGTAAAAATATCAATGAAAAACTGTTAGCTTTCTCCCCCCTGAAAAGGATTATAAAATACCCCCACAACTAATCTGTATTTGTACTGTTGTATGAGCACTACCTGATGTGCTGAAAGAACAGGCAGAGCATTGGTCACTTACACTTTTTATGCATGTAGACCTGTAGCAGGTGCACACAAACTGTTAGCAGATCTGATAGAGGCAATGGCTAGACGTTTAGAAAGAAAGTAAGTGGGAAAGCTCGCAAGGGTTACCGGACACTTCTGTTTGTGATTCTCACATGTAATACTTTCAGTGGGGAACCTATAAGTAAAGGGATCATGCATCTGTCTCAGTTCACACTGATACTGAGGAGGACTTCCTGATTAACACAGATACAGACATTTAGTGTCAGCAGCTTGAGAAGTCAATAGTATTTGAAATACATTACAGAAAAATGGGGATGTCTGCAGCTAAATGATGTTTGGTTTGGAGTTGTCAGCACATGGATGGCCGATACGCAGAAGAATAGACTGGCCAGTTGTTGCTCCTGCTGTTATCTAACATGTTACTCAAATTCTCTCTTACATGTGATGCACAGAGAGCAGAATACTAGAACAAAGAATATTTTCACATAATTCTCCGTGAAAGACTCTTAAGTGATATTAATTGTGGGCTTATAGATCAACATACGGAATGGTGCCACGAGAAAGACTGAAGGTGTGAAATCAGACCAGGCTGATAAAACGTGAAAGAGGAGGTGTTAGAAGATGAAACAGGGATATACAGCAAAAGGGTTAAAAATGAGCTTAACTAAATAATAAATAGGGGTCAGGTCAAAACTACAGTAGTTCAATGGAGACTTTCAGAAAAAAAAAATCTTACTAGAATAATTTACAGATTAATTTATGTTGGCAGGGGACACTGGAACTCATCTGGTCTAACTCCCTGCTTACTGCAGGTCTCACAAGAGCAGGTTGCTTAGGGTTGTCTCCAGGCAAGTTTGAATACCTCCAGGGAGGAGGTTTCCAAACGTCTCTGTACCCGTGCTCCGGGGCTTCCCATCCTCATGGTGAAAAATTGTTCCTTGTACCTAAATGTAGTTTCCTATGTTGGCACTTGTCTCTTGCCTCTTGTCTTCTTGCTGTTCACTGCCAAGAAGAGTCTGGCTCTGTAACCCTACCAGTTGGTGCTTAGACAGCAACAAGATCTCCCTTCATCCTCCTCATCTTAAGACTCAGCAAACCCAGTCCTCTGCCTCTTCTTGTCTGTCATCTTGGTGTTCCTTCTGCGCACTTGCTCCATTATGAAAATAAGAGCCAAATATATATAAGCAAAATTAGAAACGAAATAGAAAAGCATTGATGAATATCTGTTTGTCATGCATCCTGTATTTCTTTTGATGCAGCTTTCTATTTAGTGTATTCATTTCTGGTTTTGTAGGAAAGCTTCTAATCTTTTCATGAAGTTCCTGCTGTGCTTTGAAGCATGAGAAAATCATAATGACTAATGCTGTTTTCTGGTTTTAAATGCAGATAGTGAAAACACCAGAGACTTCAGGCCATCCGCTTTACACCACTGTTTTTCTTTTCCAATCAATTGTCACTTTAGATTCTTAATGTGTGTTTGGCATTGACCTAAATAAAGAAGATTCTTTCCTCTAGTTTGAGATTTATCTTTTATGGGCATTTGTAGCATGCAAGTAGATGGTAAAAGGAAAGTCAATGTCATTTGATGAGTACAGCTTTATCCTACGCATTTGTCTCCTAGATGTACAAGGCTGTTTTTTAAAAATGGATTTCTCTGTGTGATACAAGGAGATTAGTCCAAGACCAAAACAACTCAGTTGTTTGCCTCTTAAACTATAGACATCTTTGCTGCATTTTACAGGTGAGCAACAGGACACAAGTGGTCTGACATGCTCAAACTTGATCAGGACTTCAGCCTGATAGATATTGGCTGACAAAGTGGTTATTCTTTACTGTCCAGAATTGGTGTTAAATCATAGGATGATTTGGGTTGGAAGGGACCTTAAAGATCATCCAGTTCCAACCCCCCTGCCCCGGGCAGGGCCCCCTTCCCCCAGCCCAGGGGGCTCCCAGCCCCGTCCAACCTGGCCTTGAACCCTTCCAGGGAGGGGGCAGCCCCAGCTTCCCTGGGCACCCTGGGCCAGCGCCTTACCACCTTCACAATAAAGAATTTCTTCCTTATAGCTAATCTAAATCTACCATCTTTCAGTTTAAAACCATTATCTCTCATTTTACCACTACAATCCCTGATAAAGAGTCCCTCACCATCTTTCCTATAGGCCCCCTTTAAGTACTGGAAGGGTGTCAAACAGCTTAGTAATAGAATATCAGGACAAAGCCAAAGTACTCTCCTATGCTAAGAATAGTTGTCTTGGACCATCTTGTCTGAACCTTAAATTGGGTTCATCCTGCAGTTTTATTTCTGTGCTCTAGTATTTGCTTATCAATCATTAATGTTTGGAGTCTGTCACATAGTGTTTGGTCTCTCCACCCAAAATTTTAGCAACATGTTATTAAAATAAGAAAGTAATGTGTTTTTTAGCCGAGTAGCTGGAAAGGCAGGAGACATTTAACTTCTTCATTTCAGCTTTAGGTTTAATCCTTTATGATCAGACCTGCCTGCATTTCAAAACATAGTATGCTCTCTACCAGGTCTTAAAAGCAGATTAAAATAAAGTGCGGGTATGTCTGGAACCAGATGGAAGCAAAGGAAGGATTGAGCCATATTCAGCCCAAGGTTGGAAAGAAAAGTTGGTCTAGATTAATAGATGACTCAGTACAATTTTCTTGCTATGTTTAGTGGCTCTTTTCTGTGTGTTACTTGAAGTAAAACTCTTATTTAAAATCAAGATGAACTGTATTACAGTTTAGAAGGAAAATTTTTCAAATTGGTGAAATTAATCTGATGTATGAATAACTTCATTGCAAGGACTTCCCAGGTCTCTTACTTCTCTGGAAACACATTAATTTTGAATGTTGTTCTACAATTCCTTCCTTTTTCTTTATTTTTTTCTTTTTGGTCCTTTTGAAGTTTTGTGGAAATGATTTTCACAAATTTTTACTTTGGGAATAATATGCTATTCACTTTGAAGTTGTTTCCAAAACTTCAGAGATACTGCTTAATTTATAATCCTAAATGGTACAGATGAAGCCTGGGGATGCTTTCCATGGAACAGTTGTGTATGTTAAGCAGCATGGCTGAGGATGGGGTGTTGCAGACTTCCTTAAGTGTTATATTTAACACACACCTGCTCTGTAATCAACAGTAAAATGAAACCTCAAATTTGTCTGGATTTTTAAATTGTTCATTGTCCAGACAAATTTGTTCAACTTTCATGATTGTCTATAACTTCTTTTCTCAGATGACTGGTGTGCATTCTGAGCTTGTTGCAGTTGTGGTACTGTTGCTGCTGAGCATATTTTTTCATTTCAGTGAAAGGTGCACAGAATCATAAACTAATTTTGACTGAGGTCATGGTTTAAGCCCAGAGGGCAGCTGAGCACCATGTGGCTGCTTGCTCACTGCTTCCTCCCCCTTGGGTGTGCTGGGAGGGGGAAAATATAACAAAAGGCTCAGAGGTTGAGACAGGAACAGGCAGGGCTCGCTCACCCATTTTGGTCACAGGCAAAAGGTAGACTTGATTTGGGAAGAAAGAACATCAGTTTCATTTGAACACCACTGTCGCCACGACTAATTTACTGATCAGAGTGTGACAGTGATAATACAACCACGTCTTGAGAACACCTTCCCCCCACCCCTTCCTTCTTCCCGGGCTCAGCTTTGCCCCCGATTTCTCTACCTCCTCCCCCCAGTGCCACAGGGTAAGGGAAGGGGTTGGGAGTTGAGGTCAGCTCATCACCCATTGTTTCTGCTGCCCCTTCCTCATCAGGGGGAGGACTTCTCACACTCTTGCCCTGCTACAGCGTGGGGTCCCTCTCACAGGAGACAATCCTCCAGGAACCTCTCCAGCATAAATCCTCCTCACGGGCTGCAGCCCTTCAAGAGCTGCTCCAGTGTAGGCCTCTCCCACGGGCTGCAGTCCTCCCAGCAACAGACTGACCCAGCACGGGCTTCCCTCCCAGCATCTGCTGCACCGTGGTCCCCCCGGGGCTGCGGGGGCACAGCCTGCCCTCTCACCCTGGGCTGCGGGGGAGCCTCTGCTCCGCCACACCTCCGCCCCTTCTCCTCCTTCTTTCTCCAGCTGACCTCAGTGGTTGCCTAGGTATCTTCCTCACAACTCCTCCTCCTCTCAGGTTCCCCTTCTTAAATACCTTATCGCAGAGGAGCAGCCACCGTTACTAATTGGCTCGGCCCTGGCCAGAGGCAGGTCGGACTTGGAGCCGGGGGAGCTTTCAAGAAGCTTCTCAGAGGGGCCAGTGCTGTAACCCCCTGCCCTGCTACCAAAACCCTGCCACACACAGACCCAATAGAATAAACTATATTTTTTAAAAAAACAATCCTTTCACAAGTGCTGTTCTTTTTTTTTGTGTGTGTGTGTGTGTTTTTAATGAAATAGCTTACGTGAGGCAAGATAACTGTCCAAATTTGAATGAATTATCACAGTATTACGCACTACAGAAATATATTAGTGTTCTACTTTAAATAGAAATGTCTAGCATAGAACACCATGTATTGCGGTTCTGCCACATTATTTGCTTTTCTCTGAAACAACAGTAATAAGGCTGAGGAAAAAAAAAACACATGCAAATTTTAGTTTAAAAGAAACATGTCTGTAAACAGACAAGCTGAGATCTGTATCAGGAGAACTGACACTTTTTTAATGCTCCCTGCTACACACCTTAATGAATATTCATGTAAATATCAGTGTAGGTGGGGTTCTTCTATAGTTTGCACTTAGGTGTAAATTTTTATATTGGTTTGTGGTGTGTTACATGTGAATTAAATATGGTTGTGAAATACAGATGTTTGCAACTTGGGGACAGTGCCAGAATAAGTCATCATGAGATGACCTGATACAGTTTCGATTTAGATACCACGCGTTCCTATTTAGATGCTCTCTCTATGTTACCAGTTACCATAGTACTCTATTTTTCTGAAGCCTCCTATACATATTAATGACATCTGTTTTCCTTGTTTGATCTTCAGCCGTCATCTTCTCACTGTGTTCTTCCCTTTTTCAATGTAATCACCTAGTCCAGATTTTCCATGCTTGCCACTTTTTCAGCCCACACTGCATAACTTAGTAAAACTTGAAATAGGTTACTGTAAAGAAGGTCCTTGCTCATCTCTTGCGTGGGAAGAGCTGTCACCTATGTATGTTTTAGGCTTTCACCTGATAATAAGGGATGGTTCTCCATCTTTGCCATTAACTCTCCAGGCTTCTTCACCAATGTCTTGAGCAGTTGTTGGCCAACAACATATACATAGAAAGAAGATGGGCAGCCCCCCACAGAGCAGTTTCTGTCTCCCAACAGTTTGCAGCTGAAGGGCAGTTCTCAAGCTAAAGATGTTATGGTGGTAGCTAATAACCCGCAAAGGTTTATTTTCTTTGAATTTGCTTGCAATTTGAATCTCTATAGGGTTTTTCCAGTTTACACATTAGAAAAGATGCCAGTTTCTTTGGCAAATATACTGTCTCTGCAATTATTTTCACTTCTAGAAGAAAAATATCCCGTGTATATGACAGACTTCAGGTATGTCTGGTAATTTTTTTCAATTTGTTTTGTTGATGACAGATGGTGGTTTATGAAACGAAAACTTTGAAGAAACATAACCAGTTATAATAAACATGTTTTCTCTGATCCTGGATGGAATTTTAGGGACGAAGGTTTTGAAAAAAGAACCCTTCAGCACCTTGCTAGAAGAGAACTTCTGGGGTGTGGAAGAACATAGTTCGTATCTGCTGTGTCAGGCAGTACCAAGCTCCTGTAAATGTTGAGTTATTGACACAAAACAGAGTACCTCCATGTGGAGACATGGAATAAGAGAGGGTCAGTGACTGACTCTTTTAACCTCTTAGTCTTAGAATCACATCTGCACTGAGTTCCTGATAATGCAAATACCTGAAACTAGATGTTTTTTTACAGGGTTAATATCCTCACCGAAATAAATATGGAAGGGATCTCTTGGACTTGGAAATACTGCTGGTGTCAAATGGATTGGGGGGGACTTAAAATTGTAAGCTGGGGGAAAAAAAACCTGCCCATCTTTTGTTCCAGATTTAAATGCTCCATTTTGAGTTGTGTTACGTGATGGTTCAAATCTAGGTACAGTTTACCATACTGTGAGTGCATCGTTTTTTTTTATATCTTGTCTTCGTGTTGAAGATCAGGGTTTGAATTGGATAATTTAATGTATGGATTTAGCAGATGAGATGCACTTTGTCCGCTCTTGGCTTATATTTGTTCGTGCTATTATTGGCACTGTTGTCTGCCTCATAGTGAATAGTTAATTGCCAGCTCGTAAACACACCCTGAAGTGGGAATATGTTTAATTCCTAGCATTTTATCTGATCTGTTTAGCATTTCAAAGCATGAGCACTGTTCCCTCCCAAAGATGGTTAACCAGTGACACATCCACAGCTTGTATTGTCTTTTTTTCTCCCATATTAAAACAGGTAAATTTTGTAGCAACGTTTTTCTCATGCTAACAGCAAATATCTTCTTCCCTGCAGTAAAGCTGTGATGGATCTATTGGTTGATTTGTGCAGCCAGTATCACTTAAATCCATCCCAACACAATCTTGAATTGAAGTCTGCGGGAACTCAACAACCTCTGAGTTACAAGCCAAACACTTTGATAGGAGCACTGGACGTACAGACAGTTCTTTTGAAAGAGAAGGTTCCTGAAGAGAAGACAAAGCGACCTCTGCCAAGGGTTCCTGAGGTTGGTACTCTGTAGGGCTAAAATAGTGCCATGAAAATTCATTTAATTCCTGCGATTGCAAGCAGTTCTTCCAAACTTTGCATCTTCAAACCAGATGGGAAAGGTTTGAGATTGACTATAACCTGCTTTACTAGCTTAACTGACTTGCATGCAGACTGGCAGGTGCCTGTCTGGGCTCCAGCATTTAGACAAAATGTTATGTTGCATGTAGCTGGAGATCTGTTCTTATAAAGGCCCTTGACTGAAGACTGATGTGGTTGAAATTTGCAGTAGTGGCTGAAATGAGGATTAGTGTTGAAGTAGGTAGGGGTTTGGTGGTGTTTTGTTTGCAACCTTTATCGAGGATTTGGGAGAAGACTGATCATTTATTAATGTCTTTCACAGGATTGTGAAGATTCAGAAGTAACCGTTTTCCAAATAGGTTTGCTGAAATTTTTATTACCCTGATTCAGTATAGCTATTTGCCCTGTTAGGCCTTTCAGAGTGGTAGTTGTAAACATTCCCAAATTACATGTGCCTCCAATTCCTTTTCCTTATTCATCTGTTCTTGTGAATGTCTTCTTACAGACAAGGGAGTTCTGAGATGTTTTTAAAAATTATTTTTAATAATGGTTTTTGCATTAGTATGTGTGTAGGGTGAGTTTGCCTAGGAGGAGTCAAGACAAAATGGAAGTCCCCGGTGCCTTTCTCACTGTAAGAGAGCCTAGCTGTTGTGGAGGGAGGAATGAGAGTTTGTGTTTGTTTCTGCAGAAGTCTGTGAGGCTGGTAGTGAACTACCTGAAGACGCAGAAGGCTGTGGTTCGAGTTAGTCCAGAGGTGCCTCTCCAGAGCATCATCCCAGCTATCTGTGAGAAGTGTGAAGTCAGTCAAGAGCACATTGTTCTTCTGCGAGATGGCATCACTGGGGAGGAGCTGGAGCTCACCAAGTCCTTGGAGGAGCTGGGGATAAAGGAGCTGTATGCCTGGGACAGAAAAAGAGGTGAGCTGAGACAGAAGGCAGTCGCTGCCGTGTTAGATGGTGTGCAGACAGTATTATGGGCAACTTAAAACCATCGGTGCTTTCGTTCCTTTGGGGCCAGGCTGAAAGAGCAGAGACATCTCAGCCTGGCGGGCTGCACAGGTTTGTCAGTGAGCCGTGCCCGGAGCGGCAGCGGGGCCAGCGGCGTGCCCGGCCACCCCTGGCTGCTCTCGGGCCCTGTGCCAGGCTGGGCTGGCCCCGGGCAGGGCGCACGTTGGCCTGGGGCAGGGCAAAAGGAGGAGCTTTGCTACCTCCTGGGGCTGCTGGCAGTGCAGGTGTGCGTGACACGGGGGCCTCATCCAGGCAGAGCCTGTCACCAACCTGTGCTGCGGGGTGGAGAGAAAGAAAGGAGAGACATGCCATAGTCATGGCAGCTGCGAAAGCTGAGGGGCAGAGGCGACAGACGAGGTCTTACGAGAAACAAACTGTGGATAGGTTCGGAGACGGTTCCTCCAAAGTCCGAAGTCATTGATGGTTTAGTGAAGAGGAGCTAAGAGGTATTTGTATTTAACATTTTGTTCTCTTGTTTATTCACCCTCCCTTTCTGTTCTCGTAGATGATACTGTAGCCGCGACTTCTTGGGCTTGAATTTTATCAGCCTGATTGTGTATTCAAACAGCATAATTATGCGATGTTCTTTAAAATATACCTGCTTTAAAAATACAAGCGCTACTTTCTTTGAGGTCAGAAAGTGATATTCATTAAAATTGTCTCCCGCAGTTTGTCTCAATCGGTATCACTTCCAGCACAGTAAATGTCCTTATTTATTGTTTAGATAACGTCAGTCTTGTAGGCGCTGAGCAGCAGGCTTATTTTTTATTTATATAGTTATTTATTTATGTTGACGTTCTGTCTCTTCTTTCAAACTCCTTTAGTAAGTGACAGTTCTACCTCTGTGTGAGTCAAATTTCAGTGAGTTTAGACTTTTAAGTAAGCTAAATGTCTCCTTATCCTTTGAATTGTTAGGATGCTCAAAAAAGTGGCTGACAACACTTCATAACTCAATCGCATGTTTGTTTGGTTTTTTAAGGCGTGTTTACTGTAATTAAGCTAACCATTTTGGAGCAACATATTGAACATGCAGCATATCCAACAGGATTCATTCAGCATACTTTGTGGACAATTTATAGAGTAATTAGCCTAAGCCTTACTTAAACTCTTTTCCTTTAAAATGAAAGTGATGGTGTATATACTGGTGCAATGTTGGTCCTTGAGTCTGGTTGTATCCTCTACAGTCAAAATAAAGACTTTACTTCAGGGCTGAGTTTATTGCAGCAAATTATGTAACACTTCATAGTGTGCTGCACTCTGCATCAGAATTTTTAAAATACTTTATTCTTTTTTAACCTTTCAGTATACCTTTAATTATGATACACCGTCCGTCTGTGTGTGTCCCCCCAGTCCCATTCCCGTCCCCCCCCCCCCCCCCCCCCCGGTTCTGAATGTATTTCAGCCTTTTCTGCCTTCCTCTTGCTCTGCACCGTGGTGTCTGATAAGAAAAACAGTAGATACATATAAAATTTACAAAAGGATTGCTTTGTTCCAGCAAATTCCTTCTTCCCATGTTCTCATTTGTAATCACGAAGAGGAATAATCCCGTTGGTTTTAGTAGCAGTTGGTCTATGAATTGGGCATTGAGTAGATGTCCAGTCTGTTTAGTTATGGGAACCAACAGATTTTTAAAACACATCCCTCTAACGAGTAAGGCACCAGAGGTGCTGAAAGCATAGGCTGTGTTTATAAGAGCAGTTTCTAGAAAAACTTCGTGCTCGTCATTCTCTCCTTCCTTGAAACAGCAATACCGAGTGCTGAAGGATTATTAAAAGACAGGCTCTGCTGCCACCTGCTTACTTAATTCGAAGTAGCAGTTGAAGCAGCTTCATGAGTGGACTGGGGATTAATAAAAACGAAGCTAAACTGCTTCTAGTAGCAGCTCTGCATGTCTGTTGTCAGTCAACATGTTGTTCTGTACTGCTTAGGAAAACAAGTACCAGGAGTAATTAATGAATATTGTGGTTTACGAGGCAATATTAGAACTTTAATATGTCTTCTCTTGTCCTTTCATCACCTGCCTTTTCCAGTTCCTCCATCAAAAACTCAGTCTGAACCTTCTCTGAACTATAGAGGTACTGTACAATGCTGCTGAAGGAAAACCGTCTTTCCCTCACACTATGTTTAATGTGGGTTTTGTAGATGGACCTTTAAGAATGTCTTGTAACATTCTGTAGAGAAACAAGCTATTTTTGATCTGTGTTGTCTTTTGCAGAGTGTTGTTCACATGTCTGCTTTTGGTCAGAACAAACACACTTCTGTGCATATTGCTTCTTCAGTAATTGCCATTAAAATGCCAGCAATTAACAAATCCTGTCATTTAACTGTTCTGTGGTATGATATGTTCCTGTACAGATTCCAAGCCTTTTCAGGTTTCCTAAAGGACAATTAGCTGACTTTCAGAAATACTAACATTTCAGAGGTCTGCTGGGTTCAAAATTTATTTGGTAGAAAGGACAGAATATTTTGAGATCTATGACATCTTCCACTGATTTCAATTTACATGCAGTGAAGCATTGTAATATCAAACCTAAGTATACACATTGGATAACTCTGAATAGATGCTGACTTCTGATTTGCTACAGTAGGTGGGGTTTGATTAGATTACATCGGTGCTTCTGCTTCTAGTTAAACAGAAAATACACATATTTAATATATCCTTTTCTCCTACTGAGTCTGTTATAATACATTGTTTAAATTAATTATCCTCAAGAAAGGTATTCTGTATATCTAACTGGCTTTACTTCTTTGCATTACTAGTAAACGCAACATAACCGAAATAAAACTGTGGATAACTTTACATTTTCAGGAAGGAAGTCCACCTCCAGCAGGTGACAGCCATCGAGCAAATCTTAGCTCATGGCCTATTGCTTCTTGGCTTCACTAATGCCAGTACTTTTCCCTTTCATCCTCTTTCATTACTTGCTGTGGCTTCCTCTTATACAGAGCATCATACGAGGGGGAATATCTACTGCATTTATTTAAGAAAAATTATTACATATTTTATAAAGATTCCTTGTTGTTTTGAGATTATACGCTGTGTTTAAAGTACCAATTTGTTGGTATTATACAATGTTTAATGGTAGGGTTGATGATCAGCTGTTACTGACATAGCTTATGCTAGCCTTTCATCATTATTGTTCATAGTTAAAGACTATGTGAGTAAGGGAATCATGATCCACATTTAGTTGCAGCCCAGCCCCAAGCAGAAAAACAGCAGTTTCTGGTGAATGAGCATAAGCAGCGCTTAGTATGTGAGGAAAGTATTAATTTATTACTGTATTTTTTTCTTGCAGTGGAGTTGCAGCCTTTCTTAAGGATAGTTTCTCCCTAATTTCCTCTGGGTTCATCATCTTTATTCTTCTGTTGTGCTCTGAATTGCTGTATGTGTTTAACACCATCTAACACCTGACATTGTTGATATGTAAAAGTCACCTGCATGAAAATCATGTGCTTTGTGTGAAATGTGAGCCAGTTTACAGTTCTGCAATGAGGGTTTTTTTTTTTTGTGTCAACAAAGTCAGCTTGCTTCTTAATTGATATTTGCTTCTTGTTATTAGACAAATAAAACAATTATTTATAAGAGAAAGCAGTTTTTCTCTTCACATCAGACTTTCTGTGTGCTATTGGGATAGTCTGATGTGCTTGGAACCAGGACGAAATCTTTATAGCAATATGCAGTGTCCATTTTTAAAAAGTGGGACAGCTTTACAGTCTGTAAATTGATTATAAACCCAACTGTTGTTCCCTGTAATGAAAGACCTTATTTTGCTCATTCAGCTTGGCTGGTGTGGGGGAAACTGAAGGGAGACTAAACGGTCTGGGCATTCATATAGTTCCTTAGCTGGTTCGAGGAGGACATGCATATTTGAGCTCCTATAGCCTGAAATGAGTACAGACTCCCCTCTTTTCCCACCTGAAGTAAAAGCACCAAGATGAGAAAAGATTAGCACAACTAACTGGTTTGAGTTCTAAGGAGAGACCTTTTTCCGAGGGAAAGGTCTCTTTCCTCATCATGGAACTTTGTCCAAATTCACACTGAGAGTCTTTCCATTAACTTCACAGCGTTAAGTCAGACATGTGAATTGTTAAAGATCTTTATCATCGTCTTTCTTTAAAATGTTTTGTTTTAGTATGACAGTATGCCATGAGTTTTAAGTGAGACATCCAACAAGTATTTGTGAACATTAAGGACCTTGCTCATGTTTTGCCTTTTAATAAAGATTACTAAATTGTGATTGAACACTTACTGCAGTTTATGAAATTATTCCATTTGCCTCCATTAGATTTTGGAACAAACTCAGAACAAATAAAAGTTTGTTAAAAAAGAAAGTGCAGGATCTGGCCATTATTTAGATAATTCAGTTCATAACATCTCCAGCTCATAAAGATACATCATTAATCCAGGTTGTTTAAAAATACTGACCTTCTGAATCTTTGTTGCAGAAATGTAAAAAATACTCCATTATAATTGTTTCAGAACCAAGTCCAAAGGCTTCTGTAAGCAATGATGCAATAGAAAAAGAAAAGACAAGACTTTTGGGATTGTTTAAAGCTGATAGAAGAAGCAGCAAGGTAAGTGTTCAGCAGTGTTACTACCTCACTAAAGAGAATTGTTTTCTTTCCAGATTTGTTATGTCTGTGGGTGGTGGTGTGCATTTGGGGTTCTTTCTTTTCTTTCTCTTCTTTCTTCCAAGGAGTAATCTGTTAGCAGGTGCATCAACTATGTTTAATCGGTGCACCCTCATGGAGATATCAGCTGCTTATTAAAGGAGTCAGGAATGTGGACCGTTCCTTTTTTTTTTTTAAATGCTTTGGGTTAAGTAGGTTTTAACAAAGGGCAGTAGGTTCAGGCAACTTATGTCCACTTAATAGAGCTCAGATTACAAAATGTATTTATGAAAGAACAGATGTAATATAGAACAATTATGATATCAAGTAGAAGTGTCTCATTAACTCTTTTGTGCATGGTTGATAATTTGTTTTAAAACATTTATATCTTTAGGAAGCTCTGTTCAGTCATGCTATTGCCATCTCCAAGTCTGTAAAACCAATGAATCAGGTGTAGAAGAAATAACTTGCATTATTAAACTGAAGAATCAGTATCTGCTGGGGTGCATAACTTTCTTTTTAATCTTGAGTTGAAAAATTTAAAAAATAAATTTTGTATAAAATTATTTTCTTCTGTTGAGATGCCTTTGTGAAAAAAGCTATCATTCATCAAAGAAATCAAATACAGAAACACTTTCTAACTCAAGAGCATAGAAAAAACACCAGGCTTTTTACTTCATCCTTTTTGTTTCCTTTGCTGCAAATATCAGTGTCAGCTGGTTTTGGTTGTAAAGTGTTTAGAGTGTCAGAGTAAAAACGGAATTTTCTTTTGTCTAGTTTAAAAAGCCCTCCAAGGCTTCTGCAGTGAAATCATAAAATGTGTGTCTGATTAACTGGTACTAAGAAACATATGCATGTTAATGGACCGGTGTTTCACTTACCATTCCAGTCTTCTCAGTCATGTTTTTAAAACCGTGAAAGCTTTCAAAAATCTTTTACTTCTCTACCCTTTTGATTATAATCAAATTTGGACTGCTTTTGACAGGGAATAGTTTCCTTTATGGACACTGGGAAATACTGTGTTGAAAAGTCTACTCTGTCGTGGATGTTGAGCTATTCTTAATGTCTTATAAAGAACACATGGAAACTGTATTTTATGACGTAGGAAGTCAGTCACATTCAGAGTGTTTATCCTCTGTAAGAAAATGTTTTCCATTTAGAAGGATACAAAAGCATAACTGGAGCAATAATGCTGTATCTGCCTGGAAGAATCAAATAAACAAGGGAGCTCAGCTTGATCCTCTAGAGCACACTGTGGGGCTGTACTTCCTCTGGAAGAACCAAATTCATTACAGCATACAGTTTCTGCATTATAGTTTGTCCTCTGATTCCATTCTCCTGAACGGTGATAGGAAGTGTGTGCTGTTGGAATTCTAACGCCCGAATCAACTCAGATTTAACTTGTAAAATATTCTTGCAACCTTAGAAAAAGTTGCTATGAAGCCTCCCAATTCTGTGGTTACTGCAGTGGGTTTCTCACAGCCGAGTTTGGCATGAATGTCCCAAGACTGCAAACTCCTCTCTCTTTTTTTTTTTTTTTTTATTCTTTTCCTCATGTTTGTTGATCAAAGACAAAGGAGGCGATACTCTGAGGGGTTTTAAAATGCAAATTTTTATAGATGCTAGGGGTTTGAGGATCAGTTAACAAGTTACAAGTGGTATTTAACTTAGGAAAAAGTAGGAACTGTACAAACAAGGACAAACAACAGCCTCTAAATCCAAGGTAAAGGTCTAAGTCTTTCTTGCTGCTAGTTCTGCCAAACTAATTGACTTTTCTTGGTCATTTCTTTGTTGGAGTCTTTACTTTCAAATGGCAAATACTCTGTAGGAGAAGAAACTAAGTCAATCACTTTTAATCCAGGGAGGAAGTAATTGTTGATTTTTCAGTACAAACCTCTAGGAGTTTGAACCCAAATAGATGGAAGAATTACTGAAAACTGAAGAGTAGCACAGCACACAGGAGCAAGCAGGTGTTAACTAGCCACAGTACAGCCAGCTTGGTATTGTGAAAGATTTCTAGCCAAAACAGCAGTGAAACTGCTGAACAGTTAATTAGCAGAATGAGGGCAAATTATTTAAGTGCTTTTAAGAAAGGATTTGATAGGTTTATGAAGGGATTATATAATGGGATGCCTTGTGATTTCAGGGCCCTGGTATCAAAGGCTCAGAGTTCCTAAACTCTGTTCTTTACGGTTACTCTTATATTTTTACTCCACAAGACTTAAGTGGGTTCTGCTTAGTTATTTTTTAATTTGTTTGCATTATGATTTGCAGCGGTGCTCTGTGTGTAAATGTACGTAGTCATGTGTAGTCTGTATTTTAGAACTCTTTGATAGCAAGAATTGTCCAAAGACTTGCACAGTGGTAGCGCTGCAGAGTTGCAGGCATGTACAAGGTAAAGGCAATTTCTTCTGCAAGGGAAGAAGAGTATTAGCCTGTGTTGCAAAGTGTTCTGGATCAGGTGTCACTGCACACTACAGGCCTACGCTCAGATTTCCATTCCCACACACATACTTTCTTTCTCAGCTAGCTCACTGAAAGCAATAATCGTAGTATGGCAATACACTAGATATATTTTTTTGAAAAAAACTTTCTGCCATATTAAAAACACTGTGACATAGAATGAAAGCAGAGTCCTGTTCTCGTGGCTGATACAAATGCATTGAAAGTATTTATTTGGTTAACTTTGTACTGGCAGGCTTAATGCCAGATCAGGTATCATCTTGTTCTCTGCATTCTAATTTTATGCTGGATCAGTTACCCTCTGTTCTCCTGCAGCTGGCATAAAAAACATAAAGGTGGCATGAACTCCGTATCTTTTTGATGTGAAATGTAGTCATGTGCCTGAGGTCAGATTGGCACTGCTAAGCAATCCAGTAGAGCAGAGGTCCTGTGCTGACAATCATGGGGTCTAGGCTTAAGTAGGGTATATGCTAGTGTGCAGAAACAGTCCTGTCACTGGCAAGTGGCAGGGAAGAAGTTTTCTGCTTGTTTGCCTATGGCTGTAAGTAAAGCAGAAACTTCCAATCTTGTCTCTGGTGCTACAGGAGTTGCTTACTCCCTGTTTTCCTCCTTGCCCGAGAATTGTTCTGTTTCTTTATATTCTTGTTGTTGAGTCTCTCCGCTAATGCATTGCTTTAGGGCCTTGCATCACAGAAATTTTGCAGACTATCTCAAAGTTTCTCAGCAATCAGGTCCAGCACTACTGCGACAGTTTGTTTTGGTTCTGCAATGAAGTTTGATGCTTTGCTCTGGCATGTTTTTGCTGTTTTGTTTCCTTTGCTGCTGCTGTGTAGGATACTTGTTTGTGTTGCAGACAGAAGAACACTTGAGGATGAACAGAGATTATTGTGAGGAGGATGTTTTTAGTTCTGCATCTACAAGTGAAGGAAGCTTGGATGTAAGTACTAACACAGCTTGTAGACGCTATTGCATTCCTATTAGATCCTGCAGTTTGAATAACCAGAAACCACTGCTATTCTTGATGCTTAGCCAAGTAGAAGTAGAAATAGCTTATTTCTTATCAGGCTTAGCTGTGTGAGCATACAGTTTGCATACCTTGATGAGGTTAAAATACAATGCACTGTCTTCAGATGTGTTAGCTTTGCTATAAATAAAGTTTCTTTCTGAGTTAATTTCTAAGCAGTTGTGAGCAGAAAGTGTTTTAACCAAAGACATAGGTATGACTGGAAGACAGTGACAGTGCTACATAATGCCAAGAGTATGTTTGTCTTATCAGTGACATTAAGAGGGGACTTTTTTTCCTTATAAAACCACATTTCGTATTTTTGTCCCTTTGCATGACTTCTGCAGCATGGCAGCATTACATTTATTTCATAAGTAGCTTGGGGGTGGAGAGTAGTTTTGTTTTAAACACTGGAAATAAGGGAAAGGATTTTTGTTAAGTAATTCCATAGGTTTTCGATTACTAAAGTCCTGTGAACCACATCTAGAAGGGTTTTCAAATGTCTGATGGACTACTAAATTATGAGGATTTGGGTGTCTAATTAGGAAGTGTGAAACCTAAATATTTTTGTAAGGCTGTTCTGATGAATTAGTAATCATAACAAATGTCATGTCTTTATTACCATATTTTCAAAACGTGGAGAAGATGCTGTTGATGACATGATAGAAGCCTGAAATTGGAGGTTCAGCTCTGAATCCCCCTTCCACAAACACGTGTTTGGAAGAGGAGTGCTGATCTAGAAAATATACAGCCCACTAGCCACAGAGAATGGTGACAGAAAATTGTGGAAAAAAATGGAAGAGTGAGACAACGTATCCAAAATAAAAAGGATAATATAAAAGAATTCAGAAGAGAAATAGATGGAGGAATAATTGGCTGTGAGGTTAAAAAACACCTGACTGCAAATCTGTGAAGACTTCATAGTGAAAGAGTACTGAAATAGGAAAGCTGCTTATGACACTAAAAATTTGGGTAACAGTATAAAGATGAATGTTTTACTGAGAGGGCTCTATTTAAAATAAAGTCCTACTAGAGAATGATGTGGGTAATTGAAATATACTAAGTAAAAGTGTAGAAAAGCCATCACAAGCTCTGCCAAAATAAAATCATTTTGTGGTTTCTATTCACTGCCATTATAAAATTAGTCTCAATATCTTGATACCAAGTACTAGAATAGAAGGAGGAAGAAGAGGAGGGATTCCAAGTGAGTTTAAGAAGGTGGTTCAGATACTGTAAACTGTATTTTACACCAGTGTGTGGTGCTTTCCTCAGAAGAGAGATGTCTCTTAATTTATTTTTGTAGGGAACCTTATAGGGTGAATCATAAAGATCTTTTTTTCGCCTTTGACATTGATAAAAAAAAATTTCCAAACTGTCTTGGGACATGTAACTGTCTTCTAAAGGTACAGGTGATAGGGAGCAAAGGGATCTTGAAGAGGTAAAAAAATGTTTTCTTTTTATTCAGTTAAACGAACATGTCAGGGATTTAAGTTTTTTTCCCTTTCCTCTTAAGAGCAATTAATCTTCGAGAACAATGTAGCTATTGTTCAGTGTTTATATCTTTCACTTCTGGCTTGACACCTGTATTTGTATGAGCAGTGATCCTGCTAAGACATAAGTACATACTTAAATGACTGTATTGACATAGTTCCATTTAATTTGGTACTATTTTGTTGAAACTTGCAGAAGATGTACAAAATAACAGATCCACTCAGCAGCACAGAAGGTCTATTCTTTGAACAGGCTAGATGGGCTTCAAGAAAAGTTTGGCATAGATAACTTGTATTAAAATAAAATACAAGTGGAAATGCCAGTGAAAGCACTTCATAATTTTTAAAATTCAGCTTTGCAGTTCCTTATGGGTTAGACTTCAAGACCCTCGATCCTTCCAAGTAATTCTTTATTCCACTTCTTCAAAAGATATCCTCACTTATTTACTTCAGTGGAACGGAGTATCCTCATTCAAAATAAGTGGTATCTTATGTAGCTATATATGTGAAATACACATTTAGGATCATTATATAGAAGTTTCATTGAGCTAAGATAGGACTTCTGGCAAAATGTCATCCAGTAGAGGCTTCCTCTTTCCTCTTTCTTCGGGTCTACTTTCTGTTACTGTTTTGGGTCTGAAAGTATTTTGCCTGTGCTGTGGAGGAATAAAAGCCAAAGTTGCAGATTTATTTCTGAAAGAAAAATAGTTTGCCATTGCCTGAAACACAGTGCCAGGAGATACACTGGCTGGATGAGGAAAATATTTTCTTGCCTGTAAGGAAATAGGCAACTCCTGAGGTAAGGGCATGAACTTCAGTATGCTTAATTTAAATCCTTTTCTTACTATTGTAGTGGTGATTTGCACTGAATTGCACAGAAAAGTAATTATTCTATTTTGGGTATTGAGTGGGGGGTTTTTTGAAAACTGGGCAATGTGAAAGAATTGAATAAAGATGGAAGAAATAAGAGATCCTTAGTATTTATTCAAGCACAAGTTATATTTGCTTTTTAACCATGAAGCCATTCTCAGTGCCCTGTTTATCTAATTATTGTTGGAATTATTAATGCCTCTAAAAATACTGTGGATTGTTGATGGCTAAACAGATTTTTAAAGTCAAGCTGGGAAAGTCAGCACTTATGCTTGAGGTGAAAGGACATCTTTTCACAGTATCAGCAACAATAAAGGTGAAAAAATAACAGTTTATTAACACCTTAGAGAGAGAGAGTGTAAAGATGGAGAAAATAATTCTCCTTGACAGTCCTCTAAGTGCATTATACCACACATCTGTAAAGGATCTGAAATCTAGTGATCTATTTTAAATGAAGCAGAAATCTTTTCCCTTATTCTGTTCCAGTTTTGTGCTCAGCAGATGAACTTTATATTCGGGTTAACTTTCCATAAATCAAATGCTGTTGAAATATGCTGGTGTATAAATACAACATACAAATGAAGCGGTTGGAAGTTGCAGCACAGTTAACTGTATTCCACTTTTTGTGTGCCAAAGGCAGTCAGAGCTGGAATTTATCACAGCTGGGGAAAAAAAGGGAAGTCCTCTCTGCCGCTTGGTGTCACTGTCCTCAAACAGTTGATCAAGATGAAACCCAATATTTGTAACGCAGTGCTAAAATTAGCTGGTTTTATTTTTGGGGCCTTCGTGTTTTCATAAATCAAGAGCGAAAAAACACATCTCAAGTGCTGAACGACATGTAGCTCTGGTGTGGACTTTGTTTATGTAATAAATCAGCTTGGGAAAAAAATATTTAGAAGTACAGCCAGGGACACTTATCAGAGGATTTGAAACTTCAGCACAAAGTCTTATCACACAAGGTTTCTCTAGTTCAAACAGAGCTTCAGCAGAGCAATGTTACAGGATTTTCATCAGGACCATTTATTAAAAATCTTGGCTTCAGTTATACATCTGAATATAGGTGTTACTCGTGTCAGGATCAGTGAACCTAAACGAAGCAGATAGTCCAGTAGTTCCCTGCTTAGTGAATCTGTCGTGGCTATTATTATATTATGTTCATGAACTAAACTATCAGGGAAAAAAAAAATGTCATTTTAAATTCCAAACAGCAGAGCCATTTAGGATATGTGTATGTTTTTTTTTATTTCATAGTACCTGTAAAATTGCAAGGTCATGTTCCAGAAAAAAAATACTGTGCTAATGTTTGAAAAAAGTCACTAGGACTTCTGGTGCATTAGTAACCTTGGCAGGCATTTCTTAAATGATGGGAACAGCTATTTTCCCTACACAGGCTTTTAAAAAATATATTATTTACTTTTTCAGGGCCTTGTTTGCTCTTAATGTACTGTAACTTCTATGCCCTCATTGGCAGCAGGAGTTAGACCGTTCATTATGCGCTTTCCCAGTTCAGAAGTGATTGGAAAGAAGGATCGAGTTATGCAAAAGTGATGGGAAATGTGATTTCTCTTCAACCATGTCAGGTCCCAGGTGATCAGTTAATACGGTCTACTGTCAAGGATTTCACCTCACATGACCAGGTACTGTTTAGGGCAGTAGGAATGAACATACTGCCCTTGTCATCTAAATGGAAGTCAAGTCATCTACTTTTAATGCTTCCTTGTGTCAGACAGTCACATTCACTTTAAATTCCTGTTTTCATGTTCTTGCTTCTTTGTCTCCTGGCAATGCTTAGGATGATGTTGGTTACATGTGTGTGTTTGTACTAGCAGGGTAAAATCCTGGGATAGTTCTGTTGCATTTGATACAGTTAGAGCTACCTATATATACTGTCAAAGGTGTTGGTTGTGATCTGGCCTTGAAACAGTTTTGCTTAGTGTGGTTTTGTCTGCAAAATATAAAACTGAACAAACTGAGTATGGAGAGTTCTGTAAATGCTACAGCAGAGTTGTCTGTTTCCCCTCAGTCTTCTGTTACAGAGTGCATGTAAACCAGTAGTTAGATGCCAGGGATGACACTAGGGAAGGTACAATATAGTTATAAATGTTTTTATTTGTGCAACTGTTTACATGATTAGAAGAAGAGATTTATTAAGTAGCAGATATCTCAGGATAAGGTTCAACATTGTAGTAGAGTTAGTTTTATTATGATATCCTGTGATACTCTTAAAAAAAACCTAAATCATTTTATTGTTAACTTTCCTTGGTAATAAGAAAGGTTTGCACGAGCCAACTGGCTTGTGACTGACATTCAGCGAATTCCAATGGGTAGCAAAGATGACTGTGACCAACTTCCTTTCTCTTTGTCTGCTGAGGCCAGGACAAGAAGTAATGTGCTTTGTATATAGCAATGAAAATTTAACTTGGATATTGGGGGGGCAAAATTTGCCTGCTTTTGAAGGTTTCTCAAAGGAGCAGGTTATTAAAGAGACTGTGAAATCCTTATCATCACCTAATCTGTAAAATCTCCCAAAATGTCTAGAATGTGAGCAGCACATACTTGTTTCTGTCTTGGAGC